GTGACATTTTGCATACAAATCCCCATCGAGTAGGGCGCAGTCACCCAGTTTCGGTGGAAGTGTGCGAGTTCGATAGGGATTCAAGTAGGAAGGGAGCGTCTCAGCTTTCTCTGACCAAGACCATTCGACTCAGCACCCCGGAGACTGCAACTGGTGAAATTTTAATTTTTGCCTTAACTTCCCCTTTAAGCGCTTACCAAAGTGTGTGGCATCTTGCACCTGCATGATTGTGATTACAGGCAAGCCACATTATCATTATCATCCTTTCACACAGCCTTGCTTGCCTTCCTGCCATATCATATTTCTTTTCTCACTCACGGACCATGTGAGTTTGGCACATTTTCCATCCAGGACTTTTGCATCCACCAGACCTCAAACCTTCACAGATTCCTTCCTATGCTGCTGTATAAATACCACACTAGCTGTGCATCACTGTAATCAGTTGTCTGAAGATTGCTATAATTATGGCATGAAACTTTAAGTTACAGCCATCAAGACGCGTGGTTTTTCTGTGACTCGTGTGTATCTATGTATCTATGTACAACATGTGGCAACATCATCTGTAGAAGGCGATGTGCATCTAGACAATGCATATTGTACAGGAGGCAAAGGTAGGGTTTCTCACTGATTAGGCGATGGCCATCCTGTTGGATGAGGCGAGCCAGAGTGGTTTGTGCCCGGGCGGACAAAGCGCTTGTAGATCACACAATGACACATGGAGTCCAGCACTCCAGAGGGATTCCGGAGGAAGCCGAGATACTGCGATCCTCGAACAGCCAACTTGGAAATATATACCAGATCTCTTCAAGACATTGGACTTACGAGCGAGTTTGAGGTGACGCAAGTAACTCATTATCGTTTTCCAGGCTAATGAAGCTAAGGAAAAATGTTGATAGGACAAACCTCCGGCTCTTCAACAACATTCTCAAAACTAATGGTTTCGCGACTAAACTTCCGTACCTTCTCCTCAGGTGATAAACAAGCAAGAGCAAACAAGAGCAAATACAATGAATTATGAACTCGGATGGCGAGCCAAATAAATTATGGTGAAAAAGGAGAAGGACAAAATGTTACGAGTTATGCTAACTGTCCACCAACCACCATTTTGTCGCACTCGTTGACTGTAAAGGATCTGGTTACGTTGGTGGACAGTTAGTCATAACTCGTAACATTTTTTCCTTCTCCTTTTTCACCATAATTTAATTTAATTGGCTCACCATCGGAGTTCAACTTTGCACACCGTATGAGCCGCCATGACCTATTCGGCAAAACGTACGTCATGTGGAACAACTTGTTATTGCACATAACTAGTCTATCATATTTACATGATACAGTGTAGTGAAGTTCAGTAGAATGCTGACGTTTCGGTTTGTCACAATTCGTCTTCGCTTAGCTTCCCCTTTCTTTGTTTACTACATAAACTTGAGCCTCCCAAGTTGGGTGGTTTGTTACGTCGTCGAGTTGTAGTAAGGCCGGTGTCATATAGTAGAATGATCCCCGTAGTGGAAGGCCCCCCGGTCATTGTACTATATAGTAGATTGCCCCCGGGGTCACTCTACTATATAGTACAACGACCCCCCTCGGCCGCTATTTTAGTAGAGGTCCGTGAACTCCTGAACTCCTGAATAATCCAAAAGGAGCAAGGAGCACACAGAAAACGCAAAGGAACACTGAACTTGCAAACTTTCTTCCAACTCCAAAACAAAAACAATCCAACACAAGGTGGGATGTTCATGTCTCCTAAAGAGGAAAAGTGCGCGACCTATGTACAAATGTTGTGGACTTTTCACCACATATTCCCACAATCAAGAGTACATAACCCCGGACTCTTGCCACAATCCATAATGTCCACGTGGAATCTGTGGTGTAAACTCCATCCCTTTCTACTTGCACGTGCGAAACGACAAGTCTGGTGGACTCTGTAGTAGAATGACAGGGGGCAATCTACTATATAGTAGAACGACGCCCCGGTCATTGTACTATATAGTAGATTGCCCCCGGGGTCACTCTACTATAATTATAGTACAATGCCCGGGGGTCCATCTGCTGGGGGGTCATTCTACTATAGTACACCGGTATGTCCAATAGTCTTACTAGTTTCGTCATCATCCAGTAACGTTTGGCATTTTTGTTGCCGTGGCGCGGAGCTCGTGCTCTTCTTCATTGCGCTTTCCTTCCCCACTTGGACCTTTTTGAACCTGAGTCTTCCAAGTTGGGAGGTTGTTGGTTTGTGCGCCTTGGAGAAGTGTTGGAGCTAGGAGTCAGGTCGCCATATGTCTCAGTACTCCTTATCAGTTTTGTGCCATTTTTGCCGCAACTCTGCTGTGATAGTTGCTAGGACTTCAATGTACATAACCAAGAGTGGCTCCACAGTAGCAGAACAACTAGAGGTGTCGAGCATGCAGAGGACATGTGCTACATGCACGGTATTGAACAGCTAGTCGATCAACCACCGCACGGCTGCAACACACTGGACCTGATTATATCCGACCTACCCGTAGAATCATTGGTTTCTGTCTTGCCACCTCTTGGCAAATCTGACCATGCCTGTCTACTTGCCGACTTCCAGATCCGTGTGTCACGCGAGCTTCCCATATCATGAACTGTATGGAGGTATCAGCATGCTGATTGGGCCAGGCTTCGTCACTTCCTCAGAACCACCAATTGGGCAGCTATTGCTCGAACTGATCTAGACCTGTCATGCACTGGCATCTCAGAGAGGATCCTGGCGGGAATGAAGAGATTCATACCCTCTAAAACCCTGAAAACCCGTGCATTCGATCCTCCATAGTGGACCCTGAGTGCACTGCTGCGACAGTGAGGAAATGACGTGCATGGAGATGCCTGAGAGATGACCCGTCTGACGACGATCGGCAGTCAGCTTACCAAGATGCTAGGCTCTCAACGGTTGCTTGTCTCAAAACTGCGAAAAGTGCTTTCATGGCGAAACTGAGACAGACAATGACCTCAAAGTACTGCTATATCCATTATTTTCTTCCTATGCAAGTCACAACTCCTGTTTTGAGTTGTTTTTATTCTCTCTTTTTCTTTCCCTACTAGTTGCTGTTACCCTCACTGATCCTTATGGACATATATACAGCATTCCCTCTCTAGTGGGACCATTGTTATTAGGCTAGGGCCTGTTTTGGACTTCCCACTCTAAATAAAGAATACAAATAAAAAACAAACAAAGCAGCTGCCACCCAGTGACTGGTGGCACACCGTCTAGTGTGCCTCTGGCAATGGGTGTAGTCAAACTGTTCCGACAATACGTCATCCCGATGGACGTGAGTACACAGCCAGCGCAGACAAAGGAGAATGCATGGCCCGCTATTTTGCAAGATGACCTGTCAGCCCCATTCCCATATGTCAAGCCTCGAAATTAACAGGCTCTTTCGGATGTCCGTTTCCGTGTGGCTGTTGTCGAGCGCACCCTTCGGCAGTTCAACCCATCAAAGGCAACCGGGCCGGATGGGATACCGGCACGAGTGTTGAAAACCTGTTCTGCTGAACTGGTTCAACCTATTTCTACACTGTTCACACGGTGCTTCCACACTAGGATACAGCCCAAGACATGGTATATTGCCAACATAGTCCCTATATTCAAACGGAAATCAAAGTTTCTACCCTCCAATTACCGTCCAATTTTGCTCTTGTGTATTCTGGCCAAAGTGACGGAGACAATTATCAACAGAACAATAACTAATTTCCTCGAGTCGAACAACGTCTTCTCCAAAAGACAGTTTGGATTTCGCCATGGCCATCGTGTAGCCGACCTCCTTTCCAGCCTCCACAATCAGTGGCTGCATACAGCCGGGGAGAAAGGCGTAGCACGCATACTCGCCATTTACATAGTCGGCGCGTTTGATCGTGTATCACACCCCGGTGTGCTACACAAGTCCAACGTATACGGCCTACGTGGGCAACTGCACCAGTGGCTCAGCAGCTACCTCAGTGAATGCTACCATCAAATGGTCATTTGTGGCCAGACATCCTCAAGGCTCCCAATTCAGGCTGGAGTCCCCCAGGGCAGTATTCTGGGTCCCACTCTCTTCCTTATATACGTGAACGACTGCGAGGACCACCTACCAGCCGGTGCTGATCTAGCCTCATTCGCAGACAACACTACACTGCATACCAACATCACCCCCCCCCCCCCCATCCAACAATATACCACCCAAGCCCTCCAGCTAGCAGTCAACAACATCTCCCTCTGGGGTCAAGAATGGAAGATAGATATTTGAACCAGCCAAATCCCAAGTAGTGATTGTCAGCTTCCACCGCACCCAATGGAACATGCCACAGATTGATTTCAACGGATCTAACCTGAGGGAACAAGTGGAGCTCAAAATCTTCGGCGTCAGTTTTGATGGTCAGCTTACCTTCCGGCAACACAGCAGCGACTTGGCGCTTTGTGTTAGGCTTTCCACGTTTTTGACGCGCCCGGTCGCATCCGAGCCTACAATGCCTTTGTGCGCCCAGTGATGGAGTGCTGCCCCATCATCTGGATGTAAGAAGCCCGATCCCATCTTGCAAGACTCGACCGTGTGCAAGCCCACTATGCAATTTTTTGTCTTTGCCTGCGAGCTGTGTTCATTGTAAATAAAATAAAAAATTCACACTCGCTGACTGTATAAGGTCTGGTTACGTTGGTGGACAGTTAGTTAGTCATAACTCGGAACATTTTGTCCTTCTCCTTTTTCAGAATGAAATATGTCCAGCAATGTAGTGATAAAACCGGGTCAAAGCAGAATAGCTAAAAACAACAATGATTAATACGTGACCAATATACACCATGCATATACATACGTCATTGTTCTTGCTCTCATTTGCTTGTGCCGCTATAATACCTTGTTGATGCGGAAGGAGACAATGTACGGGAGAAGGTATGTCACAACATGAAGAGAAGGCACGGAAGTCTACTCGCAAAAAAGTATTCACCTGCGTAATTCTTCTTTCTGCTCAAAAAACGAGCATTCATCTGGGATAATATGACTTACATTATTCTTTGGTTCCAACGAATTTCCAGAAGTGAGAAGACATTCTACTACGGAAACATGACCTCTCTCTGCTGCATCATGTAATGGTGTGTTCCCATTCTGGAAGTAGCAGCAAAATTAAAGACAAGACATGTACACACATACCCACAGTCATACACATGTTGATGCACACGCACACATGCATGCGCACACACATCATGCATGCATGCACACACACACCCACACACACACACACACACACACACACACACACACACACACACACCCAAAAACACACACATAAAGACACACATACACACCTCAGACCCCAGATCTCAGACTTTCCCATCGCAGAAGCAATGGTAGCGAACAGCTACGTTAGACACAGCAACTAGTGCTGGGATAACACACACATACACACATTAACTACAACACGCAGCAACTTGCGGTACTGGGGAGTGCCGGCCATCGGAGGGAGAGGCTACGGAGAGAAATGCGTAGACACGGCCGAAGCGGAATGTTGGCAGAGCCAAGTATGTACGAGAGAGGATTCAGTGTCGGCCGGGTAGACACTGCCAGAGCAGAATGTTGGTGGAGCCAAGCTTCTACAAGAGTCTGCGGCCGAGGGACGGCCCTCAGTAGCCGGAAATGAGGGTGGGCAACACCCCATTAACCCTTTCACTGCTGGCCTAGTTTCATCAGGTTATTTCCTTTAACATGCCTAAATATGCATGGAGCAATAAATCTTCGGCCAGCATTTTAAGGTTATGCTAACTGTCTGGTCTCAGAAGTCCATTATGGCAGGGCATCATTTTTAGGCAAAATCCGAAGATTATGCCAGAAATTATGCCAGCATGATCTGCCAAGGGCTACCTGTGGCTCTTTAAACAAGGGTTAACATCCCATTGCACACACAATATTGAAGACAAGGTTGAGGCTAGACTGGGATTCACGGAGGGAAATGGGGTTAGGCTTACACCCAGGTCACCACATGGTAGGACGAATGTGGAGGGGGCCGCTAACAAGGTTAGGCTTACACCGCACTTCCACATGGTAGGACAGATGTGGAAGTAGGCTGCTAACGGGGTTACGCTTACACCCGGACATCTGCATGGTAGGACTAATGCAGAGGGGCTGGTAACCTAGAGTTGGGTGTCAGCTCAAAGGCTTGCGGGGTGCTTTGCAGCCACCCACTCCATGTGGATGCCACCCAAAAATGAAATTGCTGGGGGAGGCGTGAGCCCCAATCTAGCTGACCTTAACATGGAAACTACATGAAAGTGTACAGCGATGTTCAAGGACATAACTTTGAGTCTACAGCAGTTAGTGTCAAGAGGGCAGGTGCCATCAACTATGCAGGGAGCAGCACGGGAGAGCAAGACCACTCGTACAGAGAGGAGTGCTAGGAGGGCAGTGCAGACGCTCCTGCTGCCAGCAGTGCTTATGGGGGTAGTGTGGTCACCACGACCTATAGAAAGTAGTGTTAGGGGGAAGTGCTGTCACTCATACAGCAGATAGTGTCAAGAGGGCAGTGCCGTCACTCAGGCAGCTGACAATGCTAGGAAGGCGGTGCATGTACTCACGCTGTCACCAGTGCCTTCGCGATTGGCTCCATGTCCGATTCTGACAGACGGATGTATCAGAGGTCAGCGTTGCTCTGCCATCGGCCGGCCCTTTGGATGACGTAAGGTGGCAGGCCATTCATTCCGGCGGCAGTGGCTGCACCGATACGCAGGCTATGGTTGGAGATCTTCTGGCCAGGGGGAGCTCGGCGAAGTAAGTCGTTCATGTCCGAGGGGCGAAGCGGCTGGCGAGACTGGTAGCGGAAATACGCTCCCGCCACTCGGGGGCGCAGCTGTGCGTACTTCCCTAATGTTATTGTTGGTGGCGCCGACCGTCACATCGCTGCCCTCTCCCAGTTGCATTGTTTTGGAGAATGAGACAGCCAGCCTCACTGCGTTCTCCCGGATGCAGACGCGTTCCCGCGTCAACATCTTCTGCGGGTCGGTAGAGGCGTACTCACTGACTCGCAGGAACGCGTAGTAGGTGAGTGTGATAGTGCTCCAGAGCATGGCTTGGTCGGCCGGTGATAGACCGGAGTGCGACAGGAAGCCCTGGATTGCACGGAGGTGTTGCAGCGGGACAGCACGGCGTTCCTGCACCTGGCTGCTCGTGCACTGGTTGCGGGCGATACCCTGGAGCAGCAAGTCCAGTCGCCCGTCCTGGAACGGGGACAACGACAAGTGGTTGACGATTTTGTAATGCCAGAGGACATGGAGGTAGACCTTGACAGTTGCCAGCCGGCACTTGGATGACATGTATGGTAAAGTCTTGTATAAAAGCCGCGGAATCTATGACCTTCTTGGTGAAATTTTGCAGGCTTCTATATCAGACAGGCTTCTATACAAGACAGGTATTTCTATGTATGTCAACACTAAAACCAGGCTTATATGTGATTTGATGGGCCCAAAATCGCGGCTTCTATTCGAGAGCGGCTTCTATTCAAGTGCGGCTTTTATACAAGACTTTACGGTACGCTAGGATATCCAGTAGGCGGGTGGCCTGAATGGGGTATGGCGCGACACGGTGCAGGCTGGCGTAATCTCTCGTATGCTGTCACACCGGCAGCATACGACCGGGCGGTACTTGTTGCCACTCCCGCAAGGATAAGGGCCATGGTGTGGTCTGAAGGCGTGTGAGCTGCCGGGCTTCTAGCGACATGGGGACAAGAGACGCCTGGGGATGTAGCTTCCGGAAGCTCTCGACCTGCAGCCGGGATAAACGGTCAGCAAGAACGTTGTCAACACCACGTATGTGTGCTAAAAACACAACCATGTTATGCTTGGCACCCGCTAACAACGCAATCCTGACAAGTGTCATGATCTCTGGGCACCTAGACATTCCTGTGCGCCAGATTGTGCAGACCGCTTTGTTGTCACATTGAACTAATAGTCGACGCTTGCACAGTCGTTTGCCTAGCGTCACACAGATAAGGGCGCCATTCTATGGACAGATCCTTGTGGAGTGCCTCCCACTGGCCATACGCCCATTCTTTGCCCCAGACCAAGCCATAGCCATGGTCAGAAGCATGCGTGAACATCTCGATCTGTTTGCACCAGGATGGGTCTAGCAGTAGTGACCGGGCGTTCCATGACTCAATGCAAGCGTGCAACCGGGATTATATCGTTTGGAGCCTCTTGGCTCAGGCGCTGGGTACTGTCAAGGGACGTGAACTGGCTGGCCTCGTCGAAGAGCCGGTGGCAGAAAGTGCACCCAGGCGGTAATATTTTGGCGACAAATGACAAAGAGCCTGCCAACGAGAGCAATTCCCGTTTGGTGCACTGTACTCGGTGTGCCCAGGAGTCAAGGGTTCTCTTTAGATCCGACAGCTTTGAGGCTGTCAGCCGCATCTCCCATGCTTGGGAATCTAACTCTATGCCCAAAAATGTGACAATTGTGGACGGCGGGCACACGTTGTCAGGGCCCTCGGCTAACGGGACATGCAGGTGCTCCATGACTGCGAGTAACGTGTGAAACTGCTGACGAGCATAGTTTGGCGGCTGTGGAGGTTGAACTGTGAGGAAATCATTGAGGTAGTGCAGCAGGTCATGCACATTGAATCTATTCGTGGCTACCCAGCAAAGGGCGTCGGGGAGCCTGGTGAACAAAATGGAGAGGACATGTCATGCATAAGGCCTCGGTCACACTACGGCGAAAATGCTGCGTCAGCGTCAGAATCATGAGCTTTTCCATGGCAACTGACGCAACGCGGGAAGTTTGAGCGTCAGACGCTGCTGCGTCTGACGTGGGGAAATCGGCTGCGTTGCCGCTGGTGGGAGTGACGCTTGGCGGAAAAACAGTGTCTTTCAAGTAAAATTAGTTTCAAGACATTTGTCTTTGCTTGAGTTGAGCATTTATTCGACATTCGTCTGTTCAAGGTTTGTTTTGTTCCCTCTTTTTGTTCGAGATGAGTCCGTGGACCTACGAGGCCGAGGCTGCTCTGCTCCGAACCTGGCGGAAGAGCGAGGCGTTTTCTGAGAAGAAAATGATGTCGAGAAAGGACCAGTTGTTTGAGTGGGTCATCGGCCAACTGGAGCCTGTTGACTTGTGAGTGTTGTGTTGTCGTCAAGAGCCCCAAAAAGGACAACCAGTATGACGAAGTCAGGAGAAACACAGCTGCGATGCGGACTTTTCTTGCCTGATCCATGACACTACCACTGAAAATGGCTTCAAATTCGGAAAGAAACAACAACGATCGTGCACGCGTGCCGCGTGGACCTACATGATTGTAGTACCTTTCGTCTTCTTGTAATCAAAAATCAATGAAAAATTCGAAAACTTTGTCCGACAATTGTTTTGTATAATAAGCAAAAGGGCGGTTTCCGTGGGAATCCGTGTCGTCATTGAGTTTTCCTGGTGGTTTTGTGACGTAGACAAATGCGTCAAGCCGCGGCAGTCATGAGCTGCAAAAAAAACAAAACACTGTGTGACCCCGCGTCTCCGTCAAGTGCTGCGGCTTGACGCTGCGTCCAGCTTCAAACTGCCGTAGTGTGACCGAGGCCTAAGGGAGTTAACAAATGCGCGGTCAGGGTGCCTGGCCAGAGCCGACTCAAGCCGATCCAAGTGAACGGGCGTCCAGTGCGACTGTTGGCGCAACGGAACGCCTGCTCGCTGGTTGCTCTGTGCGACACTCTTGTGCGCCGTGTCCGGAGACGTTGCAGGTGCTGCATTGGTGAGCGTACAAACAGGGGTTTCAACGACACAAGCCCCGGTTGTAGAGTCGACACCGCTCGGTTGACGAGCGTGCGGCGCCGGAGACTGCCACGGAGCTGGGCCGAAAGGGCCGCACAGCACGGGCATCAAACACGGCAGTGTACAGTGTTTGTGGTGTTGTGTCCCAATGATGTGACGGCCGGGACTCGATGCTGTGGCGGAAGGTGCAGTCATACTCCGCAACTGCGGAAAACATGTATTTTTTGCTGGCGTTCAGAATATGGTGCTGATACGCCAACAGTTCTACTGCTCTTCCCGGATGCGCATCTAGATAGACGGCTGCGAATATCGTCCATGCTTCAAGCCAATTTTCGATGTCCGAAATGCGCCGGGACATGTGTGGCTGGGAGGACAGCGTGAATTTTCCGGGTGCCTCCTCGCCCAACACCAGAGCGTGGGGGCTTGGCACGTCCGTGGCGGTCAGTGGCAACAGTTGTTGTAAGTCAACAAAATGGTGCGTTATGATTTTGTCGATCACGCTCTGGGGTGCGCTTGATTTTTACAGGCCCTTCATCATGCAGCACGGCGCAGGAAACACTAGACGAATGCAAAGTGGACGTACCTAGGGCTGAGGTTGCTGTTTGCGCTGCACCTTCCAGACGGTCCAGTCGGTCCATAAACGGTTTCATGGCGGTCGCGATGGCGGCGGACATGGGAGCTACAGGTATAGTAGGTTCCTGGGTGTCCCTGTCCTCGACATTTTGTCGCGCAGCCACTGCGGGGGTCCGAATTCGGATTGCATCAATTCGGATTGCATCAACCGCATCAACCGGGAAAGCAGCTCAACGACAGCGCTACGGGTAGATGTGGAATGCAGTGTGAAGTAGCTACGGGTAAATGTGGAGTGCTATGTGCAGTAAACGCAGGCGGCCACGCGCTGAGAGCGTTACGTGCGTGTTAACTACAGTTAACACGCGCTGAGAGATCGTTACGTGTGTGTTAACTACAGTTAATGCTACACCTCAACTGAGATTTTTAAAACTTATTGGTTGTGATTCGGCTGGAAACCCTCTAGAGGTTACCCTGCGTACGTGCCTGGAAGGTGGAGAAGATGATGTCACCATCAATCATTGTGATCAGACATGCCAATGATGCAGAGTAGGTGGTCAACATTGACCTTATGAAGCTAGACTCAGCTCCTGTATTACCAGACAATGCGGATGTCCACAGCGCTCAGCCGAGCCCTGCCGAGAGTGACAGTGAGAGTGACACTAGTGATAGTGGAGCCTGGGGCCTGAAATTTGACGGCGGAGGCAGTGACTCAGTACCAATGCGATATTGTTCTGGAGTATTGGCGTCTGGAGGCAGGGTTGTAATAGATTGACTAAGTAACTGTCGACGCCACCTCATCTATCTATCTATCTCTCTCTCTCTATCGATCTATCTCTATCTCTCTGTCTATTCCTTTCTTTATATCAAACACATTTACTGTTGATCACTACGTACCAATTATTGTTAGGCTTTGTATTAATAATTCGCGCTGTGGTCGTGACGTTGTTCCTTTCCCAGTATTATTGTGCGTGTCCAGCATAAGCGAACGTGTGGACTGTATTTGTGCATGGGCGACTTGCACTTGCACTGTTGACGCTGCCGCGGGAATGCATATAATAATAATAATAATAATAATAAATAATTTGTAAGAAAGGGTTTGCTCCCCACACCGGAGCTCGCGCTATTCCGCCGACTTTACTTGACACTTGACTGACTCACGACTGCCATCCAGAGCACACGAGAAGTCCGTCGAACCTTCGACTCGGCAAACCTGCAAGAAAGCACCACTCCCTGCTCAATACACAGTGTTTCGGGGAATTCACCCCTCATCAGTTGAGCTTGAGTAGGCTGAGGAAGATTGTGCCTGTAGAGCACCACTTATATAGTGCTCTCCAGGCACAAACATCACCAGGGATACAAACTTACAGAGACGCTCCGTTTCCAGCGCGAAAAACACCTCGTGAACACCAGATAGCAGCGTGAGTCAGTGTCGCTCCTGGATGGTGAAACAGACGTCGAGGACCCTCGGTCATTCGCAACGCTGTCACCTCCAAACCAACTAGTCGCAAGCCCGCGCTGGGCACAACAGTACGAAGTAGTGGTTGCGACTTCGGCGATAATTTGTAAGAAAGGGTTTGCTCCCCACACCGGAGCTCGCGCTATTCCGCCGACTTTACTTGACACTTGACTGAGAGCGCGAGCTCCGGTGTGGGGAGCAAACCCTTTCTTACAAATTATCGCCGAAGTCGCAACCACTACTTCGTACTGTTGTGCCCAGCGCGGGCTTGCGACTAGTTGGTTTGGAGGTGACAGCGTTGCGAATGACCGAGGGTCCTCGACGTCTGTTTCACCATCCAGGAGCGACACTGACTCACGCTGCTATCTGGTGTTCACGAGGTGTTTTTCGCGCTGGAAACGGAGCGTCTCTGTAAGTTTGTATCCCTGGTGATGTTTGTGCCTGGAGAGCACTATATAAGTGGTGCTCTACAGGCACAATCTTCCTCAGCCTACTCAAGCTCAACTGATGAGGGGTGAATTCCCCGAAACACTGTGTATTGAGCAGGGAGTGGTGCTTTCTTGCAGGTTTGCCGAGTCGAAGGTTCGACGGACTTCTCGTGTGCTCTGGATGGCAGTCGTGAGTCAGTCAAGTGTCAAGTAAAGTCGGCGGAATAGCGCGAGCTCCGGTGTGGGGAGCAAACCCTTTCTTACAAATTATCGCCGAAGTCGCAACCACTACTTAATAATAAATAATAATAATAATAATAATAATAGGCTGTTGAAGATAGTGAAAACTATTGTTCTCCTTGGAAAATGTTTTCCAATTGTGCATGTATTATTGTGCGTACAACAGATGAACATGAGACCTGATACACATGCACTATGTACACCCATATAATCTTATTTTTGTGTTCATACACTAACAAGAATGCACCAGGGATATCCTGACTTACATTATCCTTTGGTTCCAACGAATGTCCAGAATTAAGTAGATGTTCTACTACAGAAACATAACCATTCCGTGCTGCAAAGTGTAATGGTGTGCGACCCTTCTGGAAGTAGTAATGTTAATGAATACAAACCGAGTACACACAAACACACATAAACATACACAAATACACACATACACATGACGATTCACAAACACATAAAAATATGCATATGCATGAACACACACACACACACACACACACACACACACACATGCGCATGCACACATAGACACACACACACACACACAAATACACAACCATGCACACAACCATGCATGCGCAAAAACACACACACAGGAACAAACAAACACAGCTAATGAGTAAAGGTAACACCGGCAATGGCATAGGGAGTTCTGGATCATTGTCAATGAAGATTTCTTTGGGAATTGATGAACAATTTCCTTGGACACAAGAATACAATTTTCACTAGTATACTTTCATGCCTGATCATCAGGTGAAATACAGGCAAAATCTACTTGTAATGAACATGGCATGGCACATGTTGTGTGTAAGTGTGTGTGCTCGTGCATGTCCACGAATGTTGAGCACACACACGCAGGCGTACACATGTGTGTGCGCGCATGAGAGCATGCCGTTTACTTTGCATAAATGTATGTAACTGCAGGTGTGTGTATGTGACGTATTTGTGTGAGCAAGGGGTACTTGTTTGTGAGTGTGAGTATGTCTTTCTCTTTCTCACTCTCTCTCTCACTCTCACTCTCCCTCTCTATTCCTTTCTTGAAATCGAACGTATTAACTATTGATCACTACGTATCAATTCTTGTTGAGCTTTGTATTATTCCCATAGCTATGCAGAAGACGTTACTTCAGTAACGTCTGGCGCTAGCCAGGGTCAACACAGCTTCAATTCCCGTAGCTATGCAGAAGACGTTACTTCAGTAACGTCTGGCGCTAGCCAGGTTCCACACAGCTTTAATTTTGTGTTTGTTTGTTTGTTTGTTTGTTTGTGTCACGCCTGGCGCTATCCTGTATCTGTCCCGTACCGTACCGTACCAGCAAAGACAGCTGGCCACAATATGTTTGTTTGTTTGTGCCATCGGCATGCCTGGCGCTACCTCGTACCTGTCCCGTACCATCAAGACTTCAAGAGTACGGTACCATTAAGAGAATGAGTATTTATGCGAAGTGTATCGGGGGAATGCATTCAGTGCAGTAACATTTTGTGTGGATTTGTGTGCGAGGCCGATATCCCACTAGCAGGCTGGCTGGGCCGCCTGTCGACCAGCCCGGGAATCGCATGTAGGCCGATAGCATAATAATTATAACTTATAGATGTATAGCAGGGAGTCGTATTATGTAAACGACTCCCTGCTGTTTGCGGAGATTTTCTGGACAGAAATACGAAGTAGGAAGACAAGTAAATCATGTATTTAGAATGAACGTTAGTTGCCGAATAGGTGTCTGGAAGCGTCAGCAAAACCATACTTTGGAAGAGAGATCCCGTCGTCTCCAAAATAATCCTGAACGGGCGAGTCAGCGCCGGTCACAGGAAATGTCGGAAAAGAGATCCCGTCGACTCCAGAACGCCCGTGATCGGCAGAGTCAGCGCCGGTCAAAGGAAACGTCGGAAGAGAGATCCCGTCGACTCTAGAACATTCGTGATCGGCAGAGTCAGCGCCGATCACAGGAAACGACAGGACAGACATCCCGTCGATTCCAGAACGCCCGTGACCGTTAGAAACGAGACAGGTACGGGATAGCGCCAGGCATGCTGATGGCACAAACAACCAAAAATATTGTGGCCAGCTGTTTGTGGCCAGCTGTCTTTGATGGTACGGTACGGTGCGGGACAAATACGGGATAGCACAAGGCTAGGCGTGACACAAAAAAAGTTAAAAAATTAAAAATAAATACCAAATAAAATATTAATCCCGTAGCTATGCAACAGACGTTAGTTCAGTATGGTTTGACGCTAGCCACTAGCCAGGGTCCACACAGCTTTGACACGTTACCAGGTTACATGCTTTCATTTCTCTCTGCAAAGAGCACCTAGGGTTGCCTGTAAAAAGACGGCAACGTCTGTAGGGATTTAAAAAAAATTCTACTACTACTACTACTACTGTGCATGATGAGCAAGCAAAAGGAGAGACAGTACATTTAGAAGGCGGGTAAAGATAAGACAGAGAGTGTAGGGAGGAGAAGGAGAGAAAAGAAGGAAACACGTTATTGGGAGGAGTACGTGGAGCGGAATTTGAAAATCATGGGGTGAGGCAGATATGATGCTGATACTCAGAGATGATCATGTGCCCCCGATCAGTCGTTGGTCTTCAAACAGCGATTGGCTGCAACCTTGAAACTTTGTAAGTTATTCTGCAAAATGGACCAGAGAAGACTCCGGCGGGCAGCTGGTTCCTGACAGGGAAAATTGCGCGAGGGTAGGCTCGACACAGGATGTTTCGGGAAGGGACTGGAAGTTCATTTGCCTGTTGGTGTGCGTGGTTGGATCTTCAAAACGTACTACGAGTGGAGTGGACTGTTTGGGATTGGGGCTGCTGGGGTGGCAACATCCTCTGTAGAAGGCGATGTGCATCTAGACAATGCATATTGTACAGGAGGCAAAGGTACGGTCCATCACCGATTAGGCGATGGCCACCCTGTTGGATGAGGTGAGCCAGAGTGGTTTGTGCACGGGCGGACAAAGCGCTTGTAGATTACACAATGACACCTGGAGTCCAGCACTCGAGAGGTATTCCGGAGGAAGCCGAGATACTGCGATCTCCGAATAGCCAACTTGGAAACATATACCAGATCTCTTCAAGACATTGGACTTACGAGCACGTTCGAGGTGACGCAAGGAACTCATTATCGTTTTCCAGGCTAATGAAGCTAAGGAAAAAAGTTGACAGGACAAACCTCCAGCTCTTCAACAACATTCTGAAAACTAATGGTTTCGCGAGTAAACTTCTGTACCTTCTCCTCAGGTGATATACAAGGAAGAGCAAACAAGAGCAATTACAATGAACTATGAACTCGAATGGAGAGCCAATTCAATTTCGGTGAAAAAGGAGAAGGACAAAATGTTACAAGTTATGACTAACTGTCTATCAACCACCATTTTGTCGCACTCGCTGACTGGATAAGATCTGGTTACGTTGATGGACAGTTAGTCATAACTCGTAACATTTGTCCTTCTCCATTTTCACCATAATTTTATTGGCTCACCATACGAGCTCAACTTTGCACACCTTATGAGCCGCCATGACCTATACGGCAAAACGTGCATCATGTGGAACAACTTGTTATTGCACATAACTAGTCTATTATATTTACATGATACAGTGTAGTGAAGTTCAGTAAAATGTTGACGTTTCGGTTTGTCACAATTCGTCTTCGCGTAGCTTCCCCTTTGTTTGTTTACTACATAAACTTGAGCCTCCCAAGTTGGGTGGTTTGTTGCGTTGTCGAGTTGTAGTAAGGCCGGTATGTCCAATAGTCTTATGAAGTACTAGTTTCGTCATCATCCAGTAACTTTTGGCATTCTTTGTTGCCGTGGCGCGTAGCTCGTGCTCTTTTTCGTTGCACTTTCCTTCCCCTCTTGGACCTTTGCGAACCTGAGCCTTCCAAGTTGGGAGGTTGTTGGTTTGTGCGCCTCGGAGAAGTGTTGGAGCTAGGAGTCAGGTCGCCGAATGTCTCAGTACTCCTGGTCAGTTTTGTGCCATTTTTGCCTCAACTCTGCTGTGATAGTTGCTAGGACTTCAATGTACATAACCAGGAGTGGCTCCACAGTAGCAGAACAACTAGAGGTGTCGAGCATGCAGAGGACATGTGCTACATGCAAGGTGTTGAACAGCTAGTCCACCAACCACCGCACGGCTGCAACACACTGGACCAGATAATGTCCGACCTACCCATAGAATCATTGGTTTCTGTCTTGCCACCTCTTGACAAATCTGACCATGCCTGTCTGCTTGCCGACTTCCAGATCCGTGCATCACGCGAGCCTCCCATATCAAGAACTGTATGGAGGTATCAGCATGCTGATTGGGCCAGGCTCCGTCACTTCCTCAGAACCACAAATTGGACAGCTATTGCTCGGACTGATCCAGACCTGTCATGCACTGGCATCTCAGAGAGGATTCTGGAGGGAATGAAGAGATTCATCCCCTCTAAAACCCTGAAAACCTGTGCATTAGATCCTCCATGGTAGAACCCTGAGTGCACTGTTGCCACAGTGAGGAAATGACGTGCATGGAGATGCCTGAGAGATGACCCGTCTGACGGCGATTGGCAGTCAGCTTACGAAGATGCTAGGCTTTCAACGGTTGCCTGTCTCAAAACTGCGAAGAGTGCCTTCATGGCGAAACTGAGACAGAAAATGACCTCAAAGCAGCTGCCACCCAGTGACTGGTGGCACACCGTCAAGTGTGCCTCTGGCAATGGGCGCAGTCAATCTGTTCAATGACGCTTAGGAGGTAATTAACTTGATGTGACCTTTTCTCAATTTTTTCTAAAACAAAGCGAAGTTCGCGTACATCTGCGCAATTAACGCATCCAGTCCAGAAGACATTTCACATGAGGTTGAAGCAGAATAGTTCGCCTCTTTCTCCACAAGTATCATTTTGATACTATACTGCACGACTATTTATTGCTTCGAGTTATAGATTTGAATTTCGTGTTCTTCGTTTGAGAATTTGTTTACCGTTCTGTTCTTCTATCAATACTCTGCATTCTCCGCGCCTGCTCTGTTCCTTTCTTCTCTTGCTATTATCATGTTACCTTTCTTCTCTGACTTACACTGACTGTCAATTTTTTCTAGTTTCAAATTGTTTCATCGTCTGCCGGATCGCAGAGATCGTTCCTGCATTGTAGTTCACGGTTACTTTTCGTAAACATTTTTGCGTAGGCATTTTCACGAGTTATGTTGACGTCATGCGCTATCAGTTACGCGTCATTATTGCAAGCATGCACATTGCTTTTGCCTTCTGCCTTATTTGCATGCCGCGCTTGCTGCACAGGTAAGCATCCCCACGCTTGCTGGCCGAAGACCCATTGACCGCGCCGCGTGCGTACTCACACACATCAGCCGGGCTTCTCCACGT